TACATAAACTTTCTTTAATATCTGACTGTTAAGTATATTTCTTGCCCATCATATCGATAACACATAAAAATACCCTAACACAGACATTATACTAGATAGTTATTACTCATGTATAATAAAGTCTGCTCCATTTACTTTAAGGATCCTTTTTCATAAACCAGCAAACATAATTCTTTTTTACTCATTCAACTTTCCATTCCTGGTTATTACTAAATTTAACGAGTGAAAAAGATTTTAATTTAAATGCCACCAAAATTGTTTTGATAGTGAAGTTAGGCTTATGACATAATTATCGGTATTTTAAAATATGTTTGTCTAAATAAATCTTATATTTATTATCTGTCCTGTTAGAACTTAATCGCGTCTTAGTTTAAGTCTACTTAAAGTGAATTGTTCCTAGATGATAAACCGGTGTATGATCAGTTCAAAAATAACGAAATAATTCTTTGTGATAATTGCCCTGACAGATTTCAAGTTCCATATTATCAGCTTAATATAAATAAACAAATGTCGAAAGTAGTCAGAAGACTGTTCTAACTACTCATTATACATATATGCCTGGCGAGACGGCGTTGAGCGTAGCAGTCATCGTCGACAGGGAGATGATGTGGGATGCTCCAGATGCTGGGCGCAAATCGGATGTAAATGGCTCAGTGGGTCTCTGGAGAGCAGGTGTTTGACGTCCAGGGTGCTGCGTAGACATCGGATTTAGATGGACGGCAGGTCGACAGAGCTGCTGGTTCTGCTCATCGGTGGACTCAACATTTCAACGGAGTAGCGTAACACAGACTAACACAGAAAGAAAGAATAATTACGGGAGTGACCGTTTAAATAGGGGACGAGTGTAACGTATATTACTTATGCTTACATATATAAGTAGTGTGTAGCAGCAGTCGGAAGTGGAATACCTGCCAGTAGAAGACTGAAAAGATTGAATTGGAGAGAACAGAAGGCGAGACAAAGAGCAATTATACTAACAATAGAATTGTAAGAATCATGTAGTATATAAAGGGCAACTGAAGGAAGATGTGCTATAATGTATTTAGTGTATGGTTTTCATATTCTAACAAATCCACCGGACATCGTAGCAGCACATACATACTCTCCTATAGATCTCACTCCAACAACGATCAAAGAAATCAGGATGGCTATCAGATAAATCAAGTGTGGGAAAGCAGTAGGGCATGACAGTATCCAGCTGAAGCACTAAACTCCGACATAGAAGCAGCTGCAAACATTCTCCACGTTCTATTCAGGAAGATTTGGGGGGGGGAGAACAAGTGCCGACAGACTGGAAAGAAGGATATCTCATCAAGACACCAAAGAAAGTAAATCTGAGCAGGTATGAGAACCACAGACGCATCACACTACTATCTGTGCTAGGAAAATTTTTCAACAGAGTTTTGCTTAACCGGATGAAAGATTCGGTAAACGACCAGTTTCGAGATCAACATATCGGATTCCGTAAGGATCGGTCGTGCACAGACCAAATTGTGACACTACGGATCATCGTTGAACAATCAATTGAATGGAACTCGTCACTATACATCAACTTCTTATGGGAAAGTATTTAATAGTGTAGATAGAACATTATGGGAAGTTCTTCGACAATATGCAGTGAGTAACTGTGAAAATCGTCAACATTATCCGGAGTTCATACGACGGACTACAGTGCAAAGTCGTGCATGAAGAACAGCTGACAGACACATTCCAAGTATAGACCGGAGTCAGACAAGGCTGCCTACTCTCCCCATTTCTCTTTCTTTTGGTGGTTGACTGGATTAGGAGAACCTAGATATCTGAGAGGAAGCACGGAGTGCAATGAACAGCTTAGATGCAACTAGACCATTTGGGCCTGATAGATGATTGGTCAATAGTATTACATCTCACAGTATTAAGTTTAATAAACATAAGCATCTTACAATTTCCCTGTGAAAGTTTGTTTATAATCGAGGAATAACCAAAATAAGTCCCTGTAAAATATATTCAATGTGAATTATTAATTTGGATTATTATCTATCTCACTTCAGGATTCGCTTCGAAATTCGAATACAAAACATCAACGTTCAATTACTCGACAAGATACTATTTTACAACAGTTATCAGAAATTCGTAAGGTAGGGTATTCATCCCATTGAAATGTTTTATTTTATATATCTTTATTTAAATGGTGAGAATTTTCTTTATTGTTTGTATTGGTTTGTATTTTCCTGTTATTTATATTCAAAATTGAATTTGGTCAGTTTTTGTTGTAGTATGAGTTCATTGTCGAAATGTTTCAATATTGTGCGTAGTTAGAGGTCCTATTTTTAGACAGTGATTACCAGTGGGATCTGAGATTCATTTCCTCCTGTTTACAAATCATATCTACATCCCAGTTCTCTTCACTTCACAAACTAGCATTCTATTCACAAGGCTACTGAATGTTGATATTCGGTAGCTACAGTGCAAAAGATGCCATATATATATAATAGACACTAGGTACAAATTGTCTAATTAGTTGCATACGTTATCTCGGAAATTTGAATGAACTGATGATGTATAATACTTATAAAAAACATTTACAATATCTTAATGAGTAGGAACTTGAATTAATCTTATAATTATATTGTTATTTTGTTACTACTGAAAACATATCTTGTGTTCAATTTATTTGAAGTTATCAAATTCAACCTTGGTTGTTCTGCATAAAAAAGAGGATTTCACTTTCCCGTTATTGATTATGTTTATGATATGTTATATCATGTTAAAAGTTCAGATATTGAACTGAGTATCGTAGGTCTAGATATTACATCACGTTACAATAATCAGTTTTTTTGCGTAATTTAATAACACAAATCGATTGTATAATGAAATACACTTAGGTTTGATTGTTTTTAACGGAGACGGCTAATTTCTTATCCTCTTCTGGTGCCCGACTAATCCAAAGATTGGACTTCATTCAGAAAATTCCCTGTATAGTTTAAGGTTGATTAAATCAAGCCATCAGGTGCTGTGCATGAATAAATTTATAGTCCCTTATGACAGTACGGAAGATAGTTATTAGTTAGCAGTGGGTTCTTTCTGGCAAAACGGTTGTCATAAGAAATTTTGGTGAACAGAAGCGCAAATATACATTTACAGAAACGTTGTAACAAAATAGTAGTTTATAGAAGTCATTTGTCAGAATTTAAACATTCTCAGTAATTAAACATCCCTCAACTTTGAACGACAACTAAACTGTCTAAGATAATATGTGAAAAACTATCTCATACTTTTATTTTCATCGAATGAATAAACATTACTTTTACAGATATACCTAACTGATTTAATTAATACTATGTATAAATAAATGAGTATATTTTAAATTTTCCCCTCATTTCTTTCAGGGTTTACAATTACGTCAAATGTTGTGTGAATCAAGCACTTATGAAGATGATATTAATTATTAAATAGAAGATACAATACATGTGTTTTATATGTACGGTGAATTCTACACGACAAAAGAAATACAACATATCATTTTACTAAGACTAAAAATGTCATAATCACTTTTCTATATTTCTATTTATGTATCATGTAGATTTTCTGTGATGACTTGTATCATTATTTTTTCTTGGTAATTTTTTCTCATGAGGAGCACAGTGGCAGAAATAATTCTATCATCAACATATCAGTATGATTAATGCCATTGACATTTAATTCTTCTATAGAGTTGTTTATTCATTTTCATATATTACTTTCTTCTAGTGTAAATTGTCATTTTTGAAACAGTCGACTGGTACTTGCATTTATCAACTTATCACTGTTAGTTGTTTCAGCATTGAAAGTATTACTATCCGCGGTATACAGGACGTCAGGATTATTACTAATACCAAAATATTCTTTCATTCAGTTTTTTTTCCCGCTTTTGTTTAAATAATGTAGTTTGATTCCATGCATTTCATGTTTAGGATTTTGAACGGTGTTATATATTTTGAAAATATATGTAATAAATTTAATGACAAGAATATTTTCTCAATTTTATCGTCTGTGTATGCTCATGCTCTGAATTATTATTTATTTATTTACGATTAATTACCAAAGGTTTATAACTGTCGATAATCTGATTATGCAACCAGTCGTACTGACAAAGTTGCTATGTCAGTGACAAATTATTTGCTAGGTGATTAGTTTTAATTAATCTGCTTGTTTGCAATGTCAGATAGATAAAATATTTGACTATCATGCGGTTTATAGTTTACAGTTTGAGGTTGTATCGATTTAGTTGGGTGTCTTTTGTGTCTGTTTTCTTATATAAGTTGAATCTATTAGTTTGGAGAGAAAATGTAAGGAAGTTTAGATTCAGATATAATTCTCTGACAACTTGTTACTTTTATTTTTTTAAAAAGTTAACAGACTAACGAAGAGAAAACCTAAGTGACTTCATTCATAATTTAACGTATTTCATTTAGCGTTTGGCGTATTTAACAGATATTTAAGAAACTGTCATTAGTCAGACAATTTCATTGATCTAACATGCGTATGCGGTATCCTACTTCAGTGTATATGAACTAAATATATCTGAACAATTGCTTATTTAACATCAACTTCTTTATATGTTCTCATTAATTCTTGTTTGTCGTGCATAATATTTACTAATTAAATTAACAGTTATAACAATCTAATTATTAATATTACGAAATCACCAACCTGATGTGACTTCACACATTTATCTTCGAGCCACACTTTAAGTGTGGGGCTAGCGATAATATCCGATTATCTAAACCGAGGTAGGTGGAGTGGTATTTGAACATGCAAATTACTAACTGAAAGTCGAACACCTTAACCAGCGAGTCATTACTCCACACTTCTTTCTTTTTCGAACAAATTTTTACGTCTGTCGTTTTGTACGAACTTATTTAAGTGTTTCGCTTTTGATTAGGTATTGATCATTACTAGATGATGACTTTTGGTTTATTTGCTGTGATTTTTGTTTAACATTCATTTTCCGTAGCTTCTTTTCCGTAATTACCTTTTTAGATCATATCTCTTGTTATGAATTAGGATACTGTATTGTTTTCCATACTAATAATAAATTGGATGGTGTATATTCATCGAATTTCGATATACAGATCTAACTACTTCATGAAGGTTAGTACATCAGTTAAATTGTTCGTATTTTAAGATACGTGTTAAAAACTCGTTAAAAATATATATATATATATACAACTTTAGTAGGTTAAGATGATATGTATTAACCATTATTCTACTTATTAAACTATATTATTTGTTGTTGTACATCTCTTCATGTTTTATTATTAAGCTAACTGATTGAAATAGACCAAGATTTCGGTCTTTATATCAATAAGAAATTCACCACTTACCGGGGTACAAATACACTCAACTAACAGCATATCTTTTGACAAAATGCTGCTTCTTAGTCTCCATTTTTATTAGTACTTAATATTATAACGTTATGCAATGTATGAGTGTGTTAAAATGTTCATTTAGAAACTGGTTCACTTTTTGTAAATATTTATTTTGCTTTCTTTATTGTTTAATCATACTAATTTGATTAATCGTAGAGTTCGCGAGAGTAAAATGGTAATTTACTATCAGAAATCAACAGTTATCACGCAGTCTCAAAAGCTGATTGAAACTGAAAATCTCAGTGATGTCAAACTATCGTGCTTGGAGTGAGACCCGATGTTAAAATCGTTCACTGACGATGAGTTACAAATTACAATGAAATATTTAGCCATTGCTCTTTAGTTTTCAGTGTATCTCTGACTGATATGTTTTGAAAAATGTTGTTTTGAACTCTACAATAAAATTTCGCACGAGTTTTCTTAATAGTTATATTATTATTACGCTTTATAGTAATTACTAAATCTATTAGCTCGTAAATCCCTTAAAAATCATATTGACCCCATGCCTACTGCTATTGATCTTTTATTTTAGACTTTTGATTATTTCCTCAAACGTTCTTAGATGAGATTGTTAGGCCATAGTTACTGTCATAATACAGTATATGTGTTACCACATGAATTTTTTCTTACTTTAAAAAAGACAAATTGTTTAAAAAATAAACTAGGTAGTTATTTTAATCAAATGGAAATCCTTAAAATACTCGTAATCTAAATTTAAAATAAAATAGTTATTCTTATCATTTGTTACTATCGAACTCTTGTTGGAGTTATTCTTTAACTACAAATATGCGTGTTTACTTGATGCACTGAATATTGGACTAACGTTATATCACTACTTATTCAGTTAATTGCATTTTAATTCAGGGGAACTCAAAAGAAATTTCAAAAATAAGTAAAAAGCATAATGCTACTTCATTTTTACGTAAGTTATCGTTGTATGTATATCGGTGGATGTATTGACCTGGTGATATTAGTCTTTGTACCTCGTGATATTTATTCCAAAGTTCTTTTCAGTTAAGCTATTGTTTTAAATAAGTATATGTTATAACTACTAACCAAAATATTCTTCTTACAACTCACCTATTTTGTATTTAGTTTATACAAAGTCAAGTGAGAGAAATTAACGCATTCTTGTCGCGTCATTTGCGAGTTTACAGTTTATTCTCATGTGTTATATGGTTATTACTTATCGGTGCATTCTTGCGCACAACTTGGAATCTATCCTATATAATTTGGAATAAATCAAGTTATGATAATAATGCGAATTTAAACAATTATGATAAGCGTTGGAAACCAACTATTCATACTGTTTCACGACTAACTGATGCAATGCTTAATTTATGGCCTGTGTATATTGCGAAAGGTATTTTGCCACCAAGTGATATAACTTTGGTAAGTTATTCTAATTTTCACAATGGGAATCTTTAATATTCTAAAATCGCGTGAGGACTCTGTTGCATTTAAGACACTCAATGAGTTTCTGAAGTTTACTTCACGTCTCAAATAAGCGAAAATGAGCTTAGAATTTGCTATTAATTGTATACAATCTTATAAATATCCTAAAATATATTGGAAGTCTTTACGTCTTAACAGAATCTATCCTAATGCAAAAACACTTGAAAGACATGCATCGAATCAAATTGATATTTTAAAAATAAATATCTGCGACAATATTCCGTTAAAAACCTGCCTTCAGAGCTTCAGTCAATGATTATGGGTTATGTGGAAATAATTTCCAAAATAGATCTGGAAAACGTTGACGAGACTAATAAAAACTTTTGAAAACCAAAAGCCAGAAAAGGAGTTTCCTTTCGACCCGAAACGGTACGTACATAATTTTTCCAATATTGAACTAGATGTAATTGTTGTGTCGGCTTTCTGAGAACTGCAGTGGAGCCTCCAGAGGCCGTAAAGGAGCGGAAGAGTCCTAGCCAATCAGAGCATGATGGAGTTTTCTAGAATATCAACGTGGCGTGCTACTATTGGTCAGTAGCATAATATGTCTTTTAGCGGATTGGTCAAGATATGATGTTGATTTAGCCAATGTTAACATCTATAAATACCCGTGTTTTTCTGTACAAAAATGAACCTTTGGATTTTTTACTTACTTGCTCCTGTTACTCCTCGTAAAGGAGCATAGACCGTTCACCAGCATTCTCTGTTCAACCTTGTCCTGGGCAATCCTTCCCAGCTCCTTCCAGTTGTTATTCATCCTTTTCATGTCTGCTTCTATTTCCCGACGTAATGTGTTCTTTGGCCTTCCTCTTTTCCGCTTCCCTTCAGGATTCAAAGTTAGGGCTTGTCTCGTGATGCAGTTTGACGATTTGCGTAATGTATGTCCTATCCATTTCCATCGTCTTTTCCTAATTTCCTCTTCATCTGGAAGCTGGTTTGTCTTCTCCCAGCGAAGGCTGTTGCTGATGGTATCCGGCCAATGGATGTTGAGTATCTTGCGTAGACAGCTATTTATAAATACTTGCACCTTCTTGATGATTGTTGTTGTAGTTCTCCAAGTTTCAGCTCCATACAGTAGAACTGCCTTGACGTTCTTATTGAAGATTCTCACTTTGATATTGGTTGAAAGTTGTTTTGAGTTACATATGTTCTTCAGTTGTAAGAATGCGACCCTTGCTTTACCAATCCTCGCCTTTACGTCTGCATCTGAACCTCCTTGTCCATCGACGATGCTTCTTAGGTATGTGAAGGACTCTACATCTTCCAGAGTTTCGCCATCAAGAGTGATTGGATTGCTGTTCTCCGCTTTGAATTTGAGGACCTTGGTTTTCCTTTTGTGTATACTGAGGCCTACTGATGCAGAGACTGCTGCTACACTGGCTGTCTTCATCTGCATCTGTTCATGTGTACGCGATAGGAGGGCTAGGTCATCTGCGAAGCCCAAATCGTCTAATTGAGTCTGAGCTGTCCATTGTATTCCGTGTTTTCCTTCAGATGTCGAGGTTTTCATAATCCAGTCGACCACCAGAAGAAAGAGGAAGGGAGAGAGTAAACAGCCTTGTCTGACTCCGGTCCTTACTTGGAATGCGTATGTCAGCAGTTCTCCATGCACGACCTTGCACTGTAGTCCGTCGTATGAATTCCGGTTAATATTGACAATCTTTTCAGGAACTCCGTAGTGTCGAATAAGTTTCCATAAAGTCCTCCCATCTACACTGTCAAGTGCGTTTTCATAACCAATGAAGTTGATTTACAGTGACGAGTTCCACTCATTTGATTGTTCGACGATTATCCATAGTGTTGCAATTTGGTCTGTGCATGACCGATCCTTACGGAATCTAGCTTGTTGATCTCGAAGTTTGGCGTCTGCTGCGTGTTTCATCCAGTTCAGCAACACTCTTTTAAAGACTTTCCCTGGTATTGACAGTAGCGTGATGCCTCTGTAGTTTTCATATTTGTTCAGACCTCCTTTCTTTGTAATCTTGATGAGGTGTTCTTATTTGTAGTCCATCGGCACTTGTTCCTCCTCATAAATCTTTTTGAATAGAAGGTGAAGTATGTTTGTAGTTATTTCGATGTCTGACTTCAGTGCTTCAGCTGGTATATTGTCGGGTCCTGTTGCTTTCCAGCTCTTGAACCTTTGGAGTAAAATGCTTTTCGCTTATTTTGCGCCTTTGCTCTCGAGTTCAGGTCGCTTCATAGTTCTAGCATGCGGGTAACCAGAATGGCTTAGGAACCGAATAAAGCGTTCAAATTAACAAGACGTATCAGTAATACAGCTAGAAGCTTTATCTCTGGGGCCTGGATTATGTGATAGTAGGCATAGAATCAACCAATTAGATACTGATGTACAATTTGAGAATTTATTTTCACAAACAACCGACTTGATTCCTACTTCATCGGATGATCTTGCTCGCTTTAAGGCCACATTAGTAGATAGCTGCCAACAATACAAGAATAGTAAGGGTACCACAAATCACCTACCAACCAAGCAGCACCGAGACTATTCAACGAAATTAAGATAAAACCCTGATCATAAGCAAATCAGATAAAGGAGGAGGTATAGTTCTCATGAACAAAATAGATTACATGAAAAAATGGAAACAATGCTTAGTGATCCTAGCAAATTTCATAAAGTTACTTGTAATTATGACATCAATAATATAGTAGAAAAACAATTGGCTAATTACCTTAAGGATCTAAAGAAAAAGGGAATAATTACGATTGAGATTCATGATTCAATTAAGCCGACTGGATCATATACACCACGACTGTACGGTTTGCCTAAAGTTCATAAACCGGGTCTTCCCCTACGCCCAGTTCTAGATATGTACAATTCTCCTTACCACAAAATTGCAAAGTGGCTAGTGCGAATCTTAGAGCATTTACACAAATCAGTTGTTAGAAATAATGTAAAAGATGTCTTTGAATTCACCTCCAAAGTGGAAAATATTAATGTTAGTATGAAAAATATGATCTCAGTGGATATAGTATCTTTGTTCACCAACGTACTACTTATGGAGACTATTGAGTTTATATGCAAGCAAATAACAGAAAAAAATCAACATTGGCTTGTCTGACGATAGTCTAAAGGAACTGCTCTTAAGATGCACGCTGAATGTCCATTTCGCCTTCAACAATACTTAGACAAATAGACGAGATAGCCATGGGTTCACCTCTAGGTCCGATTTTAGCTGATCTCTTCCTGGAAAAGCTAGAAAATGGACATCTTAATGAGACAGACCATTAAGAAGCTTGATTTATATTGCCGCCACATTGACGACACTTTCATTATCGTAGATCAAAACATCAGTCAAGATAAACTCATAGAACAATTCAACAGTGTTCACCCAGCGATCAATTTCACTAGTGAAAGCGAGTATGACAAAGTAAACTGCATAAATTTGTATTTGGTTAATGAGTTATTATTATTAATACTTCATGGATCTTTTTATCCTGTTCTGTGTAGATCATTTTCGATCGAAGTTACTTAAATCTTGAAAAAGTGCCACATATTTATCCTCTTGTTGGTTTTCATACCCCATACATAGTCATAAATTCATCAAATGTAGAGAGTGATATAATAGATTTTTTGAGACATTACGTAAATTTTATGACGAGTCAGTACTGGCTGTGTAGCAAATATGTATAACATGTAATCCTAGTTCTATCTTATATTGCCTCTTAATGCCATAGTAAGGCTGAGGGTGGGGAGAGTTCTCTACCTCTCGAAATGTCTTCAGATGGATACGCGTATATAGACACTACCAGAGAAGTTCGACTAACTGTCTTCTCGCGAAAAAGTTGGTGTTTATGAAATTGAGATGACGAAAAGTGAATGTCTAGCGCTTAAACCGGGTTAATGTGTACCGTTGATTTACCCTAGGAAAGTTGGAAAACCCTGATTCCAAACCAACGGTGCATATGGGCTCCAGGATCGAAAGAACGAATGGCGTATGAACCAATCGTTGGTCATCGCCTACCATGGGACTGCATCTTCTGACGTTGCTCCACTGTCTTGTGGATCAGATCTTTAGTCGAAGGTTATTGGTGTGGCTCCCTAAGGAAACCACCTGCTTCGGTTTGGGCACCCGAGCAGTATCATAGCCCATACACAAATCAAGTGTCTTGTGTGGCTCATATGTATTCGGTGCCTCTTTGTATCAATATTTATGTGTTCAAATAAATGTTTTGCTAACCTACTGGGTTAAAAACATTTGGTTAGTTTTTTCCAAATCATTTTCTCCATAATCTTATATTTAATCATTAAGTCATGCGACGATGATTACCACTAGGTGGTTTGAAACGAAATTGTCCATTTCTTATGTGTTTATGTAATTTCTTTTGTCTGATAGTAAATTTTACAATACAATTTATTCATTAAATCTGCTAAATGTTTTATCAGTTATGCTCTGTTATTTTCTTTTCACCATTTTCATAGATTAGTTTCAGTAGTCAGTCACTGTTTCCGTTTGATAGTCAGTTAAATTCTGTAACAGAGTTCGATAAACGAGAACAACACCGAGTATTATTAACTAATATATTTCATGGTAAGTTTATATATGAGTGTTAAAATTCAGTAGTTATAATCTATCATGGGTTCTTGTTGTATTTGTAATTTGTATTCAAATTCGAAAATATTTCTTTCTAAGTTAGGTAAAAATTGTTTTTCACGTCCCACATTACTATTCATAATTCTATTGTTATCAATTTAAACAAGTTTTAATCACTTTAATCCGAAGAAGCCGATTCCATGCTTTTTTTAATCTGTATCTAATTGACAGTTTATTGAAGTTAATAAGTATATCTTCTCACGTGTTTTAGTTATTGCTTATGTTAAATTTATTATATACAGTAATTTTCTACCTGAACTTACAGTGAGTTGTAGCGAATTCTTTTCAGTAACACATTGTTTCTCTTCATAAACGTATTGACTTATCGGTTTTATTATTTCACTTATTCAGTACGTATGCCATCAATCATTTTGTGCTGAACTATGAACTATAGAAAATCGAGTTTAGTACAGTTTCATGTATCTGTCTCACATTACATCTAACCTCAATGTTAATTTTCAATATATATGGCTGTGAGCAGCTGATCAAAAACCGTGAAATATGATGAATTCATATTACTCTGCCTCAATATTTGTTCTGGATGTATTTAGTACATTTCCTTTCGCTTAAATAGATTTTTTGTTAGCTTTCACGTATTATATGTATTAATCTATGAGGACGGCCTACAGGTGAACTTGAGGAAGCTCTAAGAAGCTCAGAAAGAGTCGAAGATATCTCGTCCAATCATCTTTTGGAAGAATATTCCGGGATCCCTACGTGTAGCTTCCCTATTGGACAAATGCTAATAACCCCCTGTATGCGGATGATAACGATAATTTCGTTTTTACTAAAAACTATAAATACCTGACGGTTTTGCACCATAATTGACACTATTTGGAATAGCATTCCTTTCACTTGTCTTCTGTCTTCTCATTTGCGGCTTGGTGGGTTCTATTGTTCGAGTGTTCAAGTTATACGCGGTATATTAAGAATCTAAGTTCTAGATATAACATAATCGAATCAATAAATGAACAAATATCTGCTTAATACTCTATATGTAATAAGTCTATAATTACTCAGTAATAATGTTTTGTGATGCAGGTTAAGAAGGGATTAACGATAATTAATACAATCAAGTTAATATGATTTAACGCCAGTTCAAGGTTCTCCAATATGAATCATTTATTTCAAGCATACTGGGTTTATATATCAACCAGACACACCACAACGTACCATAAAATATGAAACAAAATTTGTACAAGAATTAACCAAATGCGGCTGTGAATGAAGGAGATAGTAATTAATAGACAGGCCATAACTCAATAATGGTAAATCGTATAGTAATATTCTGTGGGTCGAATTAAAGCTACATGAATGTGAACAGTTTAGTTACATAACAATTATACGATAAAAATATACTCATAGTCTTGGCCCATAATGGATCCCAAAAATTACCATTAATTATTCTTATCAGGATATAACAGGAAGTTGGTCGTGTATTGATTGAAGTTAGACATTAATACCGTTGGATGCCAACTCATTGATCTAGGGGTTAGGCGTTCACGTGCGATACGGAAGTTTCTCCGTGTAGGATCATAGGTGTGCACTGCCGAGTGCTCCTATATTATGACAAAATTCCCGTCCTGTGCTTCCAAATTTTCAATGGTGTTTTAACTTGGTTCTGCTCATGATTTCAATGAAACCTATCAATGCTAAAATCTCAAGTCTGTCAACCTTTATATTCTCTTTCTGAAGTTCCTTGTTTACAACAAAATGAAAATATCTTCGTTTGTTTGCGTGTTTTAGTGTCTTTGTGATGCATATGTCTGTGCCTAATAATTAACGTATCTCAATCATTATCCACCATCAGTCTACAAGAGTGAAAATGATCATATCTATACTTAAGAAACTGTTAAATCATTTTGTTTAGTGTTTGGATTAATACATTCTCACTGAATAATTGTAAAACAAGTTTATTTTACAAAATGTTTAAAACAAAACAAGCAACATTTCGTTTCATACCTCTTCGTTTTTAGTTACGATATTTTTATTCCTCTCCATTATATCTGTCATTACGTTTTTGATGGCTTCCGATTTTTATCGTATTTTGTGCCTTATTGCTAATTATCTTAATTTATTTTTGTCACTTTTGCCACTCATTTATCTTAGTATTTCCATTCAGGTTTTCTTTCTACTCTTTACTTTTGTATTAAATCTTAATAATTAAGAGCTGATTATTCTTATTGATGTGTGGTAGTGGAAGTAAGATATAAATGGGCACTGAGCTTGGAGAAACAGCCACTTAGCCTACGGACTATCAAATTTGTGATTCGCTTTCCTTTCATTGATTTCTACTCCAGACGCACTGAGAGGAACTGCTTTTAATTGTATTAAAGAAAGTCTTATCTGGTGTTAATCTGGTTCTCTATTCTAGGTCATGAATCCTGGTTCTGATATAATGTGACTAGTTTTATTATCACATTAATGTTTTATCATAATATGCTTGAGACTGAGATAAAATACTTTAAACACTCGTTATATCACTTGTTTTATATACAACTGATACAGACAGTCTAATGGCTACATAAATTGTTTTGTCGGTCGTAACTATGGTTATATTGCGTGCTATTTCCGTAGTCGAATAATGCCACGTCAATAAATTTATTATTGTCAAACAACTAGAATATTGATGCCCATTGGTAATCTGTTGGACATATTCAAGAAGAATAAAGTGAAAATACCTGTATGATAGCATCTATGATTATGTCATTTAAAACTCTTGTGTGATTTACTAAATCTGTTGACTTTCTATTATTATCCTCTGCAGTCTATAACAATATACAAGACCAGTGTGATCACTGAGAAGGTTATAAAAAACTTTAAGTAACAAATAGAAAACTATTACATAGTTTGTACTGGATGCCTAAAAATATGACAACTTTTTTATTTACGCAATATCTTTCTACTTTATTGTCAAATCGGTTGATGAAGTAGTAAATCTTCATTAACTGAGGTGGTTGGGACATGTGTTAGGTATGCCCGTCCACCGATCATCTCGATGAATGATGTTGTGTGGTGTAAGAGTATGCCAAGCCAGAACATGGAATCGATCCACAAAGTCAGTGACAATTGAGTCTAGTCATTTTAACAGATATGAACTACCTGGTTTAGGCACAGTTGATTATCTTAACCAATAGTTAGAGACTTTGAATGACATGGTTCAAATTCGTTTGCTGTGGTACAGGTGCATCCCTTCCCAATATTCTAAGCTTTTGAATCCCTGGTAATTTTCTTTTATTTCACTAATTTATATTTTCTTCTCGAATCGTATCTTCAAGTCCTAATGTTTTTTGTTAGCACTCATACTATGACTACCTCTACCATTCTGGGATTCGCTCCCATAATTCCATCTCTCTTTGCTATTGGATTATGACAACTTAAGCTGATGTACATACGTACCATTTTCTATTCTCTGACTGACATTATTGCCAACTATTATGTGTAGAAAATAATTGTAAATACGACAGTAAAGATTCTGTAACAAAAAAGAAAATCTCCACTGAAGTGCTCAGTTCGAGAAATTACAATGTCACTTAGGACCGGCGAACAGAACGAAAGTCAACAACATTGTACCAAGAAAAGCTAAGGTATTCCACTGCGCCCCAGTCCTACTAACGAAAAGGAATAGACCAGGTTCAGCTGGTAAATATAAAATTTCACGAGCAACCCGGAAGAACCAATAAACAACAAGCACACACTTGTGTGTATAAATACACTACGAAATTCCTACTTCCATAATAAAATTACAAAAATGAATTTACCAAATGATTTCTGGGGATCTTGCATTTTCAAAATGAACTATCTTCATGTTTTAACAATATAATCATAACTATTACTTAAAAAGTATTCTATTCAACTTTATTCCTCGTGAATTTTGCCAATAATGATAAATTCGCATTATTTAATCAATGAAGCTCGATAAATCCAATCGCTCACAGTATCACTATGGTTACGACCGATCAAACACTATATGTAATCACCAAAATATGTGCGCATATTAGTTGTATACAAAGTGAAGCAAGATTAATTAGTTCTTTTTGATGAAGACTGGAAGTAAAAATGGCGGTAAATTTTCTTGTTTACAATTGTAGGTTTGAACAATACAATAATTTTAAATCTCAGATTATACAATGGAACGTGATTTTATTCCCAAATTTTATCAATGATTGTCGATATTTCAACTTCATTGGTCTTTTTTCCAGTATTTTCTAGTGGCTGTTTAGTTTTTTATAGAAATGATTCAAATCAAATTTTATTATTATTATTATTATTATTATTATTATTATTATTATAGAATGATTGCTTCCGTTGTTGTTAATTTGTTTATTTTAGGCTTGATCACTCGATTAATATGGATTTATCCATCCTGGAAACAATCATCTTTCAATCAATTTTATAAGAAATCACAATTTCATGTTGGTTTAGCTCAGATCAACTTACTGGAAGATGATGATTATAATAATAATACTAATAGTAATAATGACTTGAAATCTAATTTTCCATCAAGGATTACAACTTTTTGTTTATGTAATCCGGCTGGAAACTTTTGCAGCTTACCGTTGTTATCCTCAGTATGTTATTCACGTGTATAGAATTAAATTTCTTGTGGCAAGTTTTTATTCGGCACAGATTATTATTTGCCTATATTTTCTAGTTGTTCCATAACTCTTATAATTCTCAGATTTATTTGATTTAGTGTTTCAATGTATTTCTCATGGTATGTCCAATCACTCCTAAACAAAATGGTACAGACTGTCGATTATTACTTGAAGCAGTTCGTAGTTAATAAACAGCGTTTTTCTTTACCTATCAATACGTGTGATATGTTCTCGTTTAGTATATTCAAATCTTACACTGTATTAGGTGGTTAAAACCAGTAATCTTGAGGGGACTTGTAATCCACCTGAGCTTTGAACACGCGTCACCAATCTTGATAGTTTGAGACGTATCCAATGGACTGTACAGACCGTAACTGACTTGTAAGTGTGAGACACGTTAACTGATCAAGGAGTTGTGACCAATGTCGCGTTTGTCTAGCCCTTAGTACTAATTGAATCCTATTAATCGAGCTACGGTGTGGCCACTAGTCCAAGTGACTCGATATCTTGTGCATTACGCCCAGATTACAGCTCAAATGATATAATTCGATCCGTACTAGTTGGTAAATAAACACAACACTACTCAGTCATCGATCAATCCTATATTAATTCAATTCTATAGAAATTTATTGCGAAACATTATTCTATAAATGATCGCTAAATGAGAATAACCTATGATGTTATTATCATTAGATGAAGTTTGTCATTCATGAATTCAAGTTTCAATCATCTCCTTTAAATGTAATTATACACACATTTGGTTTCGCTAGATTTCAAATCGGCGATCACATTTATATACTATTAATGTTTATTTTGGAATATCCACAACAATGTCAGACTTTTCACTTATTAAATTTATCTCCTTGTTACTTAGTTATTGAATTACAGATGTCTTATTGTAACCCTATATTTTTCGTGTTACAAGTGGTGCTGTCAATTGGTGATGATAATATTTTCTTTTACAATAATATATTATTTAAAACTTAAAGTATCGCAGATAGTGCGTTTTGTAACCCCTTAAAAATGCACTTCATATACTTGTAATAGAAGTAAACCTACAAGTTCATTGTAAGTAAGTGACTTTCCACGTGATAAGTCACTCAAATGTTAAGTAGGAAGTCGTGACTTTTAAAGTCAGTTACAATTAAAACGTCTATTAATAGCTCAGTTATAAAACTGAATGCTGGTCGCGCCGTCTCGAAATGTATCAAGTTATAAAATGTAATCGCTTGGATGTATGATCAGTTTTCGCATGGATTCGGACCCACCTTGATACCAGAAGGTTATGTGTTTGGTTTTGTATTCAATAGAGTAAATATTTAGTTTTTAAGTCCCCACTCCCCATCTTTCTGTTATCAAACCATGATGCAAATTAGCTTCTAGCAACTAATTTTTAATTAGTGAGTTTAGATTTAGTCCGGTATGGAAAAATACTCTATTAAGTATTATGTGACATGGTCCGTTCACTTTTTTTCAGTCAAAAATTCATATATCAAGACAATCTTGTTCAGTGGCTAGCAGTTTTATATATGAAGAAATTATTGATGTAATGGCCGAATCAATTTTATCTCAAGATGAAAATGAACGTTTGACGAAGGATTTAATTTATTTGTTTTCACGTGAATCGTATTTTCAATCAGACAAGTCAACACTATCTAAAACATCATCATCATCACCATCTCATACTTCGTTATTTCGTAATAAACGTACTGTGTGGATTAATAGTCTATTCATATTACACATAGATATGAATTATTTTATTGAATCTATTACAAAAGTAAATAACACGTCGTCTGATTTGTCTGAATGGTTTACTGATTATATTCGTATGAATTCATTAAATGACAGTAATGTTGATTTCAGCACATATGAACCTCGAGTGGAAAGTGCTTACTTAAATTCACATAAGAACGATAAACATATTGCTGATAATAAAGATAATAACAGTAATGACAATCACATTCCAGTTATACCAGCTTCAATAATTCATCAGGTTCGTTTTACTCGTAATCGGAAATTTGAAAAATACTTAACTTTTGGATTATGTTGTCTTTTGTTCGGAAAAAACGTGTAAATCATCTGACATAAAGGTTTAAGCACTCAACTCTTATCCACATTGTCTATGTTCGGGCTAGTGATACTTCTTAAGCAGTCAAACTGAAGACAGTTAGTGAAGTTCTATAGAAGCCGATGTCTTTAGATATTAAGTTATTGGTCCATACGTTGCATAATCAAGGCTCAGACGCAATGTCAATGCATGCAACAAGTTTTCTCAAATCTTATTCTTATTATCGAACCAAATCGATCACTTTATTGTTGCTTATACAGAAATTGTTTGTGGTACTGATATATTTCGTCTAATTAACTGTTGTTTTTATTGTTAATCCATAAACCAGGGGGTTGAAACTTACATCAGATGGGCTTCAGATATGGATGATGATCGTAACGGGTTCAATATACGAATAATCTTCATCATGAAAAATATTCATATTGTGTTTATAGTAGTGACCTATCTTTTTCTATACCTCTTGAGAATAATACCATGAATATTTTTTACTTAGGACGAATTAGTACCGGCCTACTTAAACATCTGAGCTAACTGTTCATGCCATCTAGATTTTTCAACAAATTATCTAATTTTGTTTGTTTTAATACATCATTATGTCTCTTAATTGTATAGCCGATTCAGGTGCATTTCTGAAAAGTGTACACCCTTTCATTGTACAAGTTACAAAAGGCCCAACCAGTTGTATCGTGGTTGCTGGCAATATGCAGCGAAAAGAATGTACATTGGCCAATATGACCGAGAATTGGTCGCTATTGAGCAGATGAATTTTCTCTCTGTTTTACACCTAAATCTTGTGTTTCAGTATTCCTTCATGCATACTTTCTTTTCGAACCATACTCTCATTTTTCAAACCCTCTCATTATCACTGACACTAACATTATCCTGACTATTTTGCTATCAATTTAAGTAAGTTATTTTCATCCTGATATGGTATGGTATCCATAACAGATGCCCATTTCTACCAGACCTTATTTTGATTAGTGGGGGAGTTGATATTACACAATTACGCAAAATAATTTTAATAAATTGAACGAGTTAGATAAAATATATACTTGTATAATGGATCAAAATATGTGACTCGACCATTATTACCATGTCGTAGCTAGTTTAAAAACCACTTTCCTTCTGTACACAAAGGTTATAAAGGTATTACTTGATGTAAATGATCTTTCCAAAGTGCAGTAAAAGTAACACTGTTGTTTGTTATAGTTATTTCGAGTGCTTCAAAAACATTCACTTTAACTTCAATGAGAAAAAATTACAATCCCAAAAGCAATTAATTATTATTTTTCTTGTTTACATTGCAGTACACTATATTATTAAAGGATGTGTATAATAAATTATCATATTTATCATTAACTGAACAAAATCATTTAATTAATGATATCAATCAATTCATTAATTCAATGCTTCATTTTATAACTACACATGATCCGAATCTGTTATCATACTGGTCAAATCAATCATTGATATCTAGTACATCTTGTTGTTATTTAAAGCCTTCTATTGAATTAATTTCATTGAATTCAAATGAGAATATATATGTTTTTAACCAATGGAAAAATAGATATCGGATAGCATTTTATTATCTTGATAATTATTGTGCATATTCGGATGCAATGATTAATGTTTTATTAAATAAACCGACAGTAAGTGGTAGTCTATTTTTATTCTTAAGATGAAATTCGGTTTCTGTTACAGTGAAATAATTGCCCTGCATTTTTTGTTTAGCTTAGTAGCTCAGTTATTTTCGTTGAAGTATTTAACTATGAGATCCGGAGTTTGAATTTTTGTGTATTTACTGTAGTTTTGAGTAAACAGTTTGTATTAATCGGTTTTATATAATGTCTGTACATGACATGTATGACAAGTATAACCAACAAATTAAATAAACCTCTACAAAAGTTTCTTCTAAACTTTAATAGTCCCTAATGTTCTAGTGAGAATTTGTAACTGGTAGCGTTTGGTTTGTGAAACAGTTGCCATCCATGGGGTTGATCAAAAATTAATTGAAGCTGAAATTACCATTGGAAGGCGTTCGCCACAAAACCGGAATGCCTTGAGTTCGACTTCTGGCGGTTTCTAGTTGTTCACTTCCAAAGAGTTCAATGCTAGGACGAAACCGATATTTATTGCTTTTTAGATTTTGGTTGTATTTCAACTGAGATCAATCTACTAGATGGCTAGATAGTTCCATAAAAAGAAATTTATTTTGAAAGAATACATGAACTGATTAGGATATCCACTTTTATAGCTTACACCTCTTCAGTACAAAATAAATTTGGTCAGATTTCTCAACCAAAGAATCAAACTATTATGTTCTTAGGATAGTGTAGATGGTGAAAAAGGTAAACTAAAGAATACATTACGAAATGACGGCTATTCAGATAATTTTGTCAAATGTATCTATCAGGACGGACAAAAAGAACAAATTCCGACATGATCAGCAAGACGACCTTTTACTTAAAACTCGACTTTATAAGGGGACACAGCGAGTGACATTTTAACATGTTGACTCAAAAGATCCGTTGGAAGGACAGTTCACACCGTGAATTTGCATGTAATTTCCTCAATTAAACCAGTACTTACACAACAAACCAATGATAGGTTACTGATGATGGACTCCTCTATGCGTGTTCATTATGTTAACTGCTCCTTTGGTGCTGGTTACATAGGCCATATTCAGAGGGTTTTGTCCTTGCGTACTCATGAACTCCAGGAAACCTAACTTATGTATCCAAAAGAAGTATGTTTGGCCTCTGTGTTTACCTTGGTGCACGACTAGAACACGATATACATAAACTGGATATTATGAATCCCTTACTCCCCTCAGTTCCTCTTGTGTTAATATATTTTTTAATCTATACATCTATCTTTCTTAACTCGTATGAATGTCTTAGCATAATTACTTATACAGCACCTCTCTTTTTACATACTCTATTCACATGAAGTTATTATTATTATTGTTTCCATAAACGAAACAAAACTCTTGCATTGATTTCATTCACACGATCTATTTCATTACTATTATGATCATAACTTGACATATTATAACGAATTTTTATGGTCTTTGGTAAGTGACTTTTCTAATTTTATTTATGATCTTTATTATTTAACGAAAACCCTTACAGTTTCGAAACAGTCAGTGGTTAAGCATTCGAGTACGAAACTGAAGGTCCTAGGTCTGATTCTCGTATGCGGGTTAGTGAACACGCAATGCTGAGCAGTTCTCGTACTAGGACGAAACGCCCGTCTAGTACTCCAATGTTTTCAATGATGTTCATAAGTTAGATCTATTCGTGATTTCAGTAATGCTTAACAATCTCCAGAACCCACATAGGCTCCAGTATCCTGAAGGAACAAATGGCGTACGAACCAATCGTTGGTCACCGGTCACCATGGGACTGCATCTCCTCAGGATGCTCCACTGCCTTGTGGGTTAGACCTTTAGGTCAAAGGGTCGGAGTGTGGCCCCCTAAGAAAACCACCTGCTTCGGTCTGGGCACCTGAACAGTATCACAACCCATACACAAATGTGATGAAATTTCGATATTTATGGAAAATACTTGTCCTGCTTCGACCAACAATCAAACGATTCACATTATTATTATTACTACTATTATTGTTATTATTATTTTTTTACGTCATTTATTCACTCTCTTTTATTCCCACTTTATGCATCCTTATTTTTCGACTTATACAGTAGCTCGCCTTTGGTGGAAACTCGGTTCTATCTAAACTTTCTCGAGTCACTGGCTGGTTGAAAATTGTATGCTACCACCAAATACGAATACTGAAGCAGTTTTTCTGAAACCACGTGCACCATTCAAACTGGCTGCCTTCAATGTTCACAAATTTATGCAGGTCGGACAACAGATAAGGTCGGCTATGTCTTTGGAAAGTCTCAATATCGACGTTTTTTGTCTATCCGAGACCCGGATTCAAGACTCTGGTGAAGAGCTACAAATTCGATCTCCATCTGTCGCTTCGAAAAGCTTGTTTTACGTGCGTTTATCCGAGGACCCTGTGCAATCTTCGTCTGGTCTTGCTGGCGTTGGTGTCGCACTAAGCGCTAGAGCTGAGGCAGCACTAATCAATTGGATCCCCATTAACAATCAGTTATATGCTGTTAGATCAGAGAGTTCCATCAAAGTGAGAAGAAATCGGCGTGAGAAACGATGTCTTTTCGTCATCTCCTCCTATGCCCCGACAGATTGCAGCCCGGATGCGATCAAGGATGAGTTTTACCACCAGTTATCTGTTCTTCTCCAGAAAGTGCGTTTGACAGATATTGTAGTACTAGCCGGAGACTTGAATGCTCAGGTCGGGCGTCTAGACACAGAGGAGAGTCGTTTAGGTGGTCAATGGGGACTTGTTAGTCGCAGGACAGATAACGGGGACCGTCTACTGCAACTGTGCACAGACCACAACCGGTTTCTGGCTAGCATCAACTTTCGGCACAGTCATCGCCGATGTGCCACCTAACGTCCTCCCTCTGCATCTCAAGCCTGGACTCAGATTGATCACATCACGGTCAGCTACCGCTGGCGTGGTTGTGTACAAGACTGCCGCTCCTTTTGGAGTACCTATCTGGACTCTGACCATACCTTGGTCTGTGCCAATCTTGCCTTACTTTTCAGTGGACAACGAAGTGACCGCCACCAACGGATTGATATTAGCAAGCTGGTTGCAACTTCTGTTGCAAGTAAGTATCGAACCGAGCTAGCCTCCAGGCTAGCTACCACTCCACCGAAAAGTGTAGATGAGCATTGGTTGCAATTGCATGACGCCATGAAAATGGCAAGTAAAGTCGTTTGTGGCTTCGTGAAACGTCCAGCTTATAAGCACTGGGTTTCTTCTGGTTCCTTACAACTCATTGAAGCCCGTCGGTCTAATCCGGATGACCGTGAGTTTGATCATAAATGAAGGATATTACGTAATGAAATTGAGCATAGCTTGCGTTAGGACCGAGAAACCTGGTGGTCGGAGTGTGCTAATGAGTTGGAAGCAACAGCTGCATGTGGTAACCACCGGAAGCTCTTCCAACTCATCCGAGCCACTGGCAGCAAGAAGTCTGGTGTGAGCGAAACAATCTGTGAGGATGACGGGATGCCAATCACTAACATCCATCGACGTCTTGGACGATGGGCAGAATTATTCGAAGGGCAGTTCAACTGGCCTGCTGCTCCGGCAACATCGGTCAGACTGTTCTGCCCTCCATGGCCGGTGACGACTGATCCACCAAATGAGGCGGAAGTCTGCAAAGATCTCCAACTCTTGAAGCGCTACAAATCATAGGGTCCAGATGACTTGTCTCTGGCTCATTTTAAAGATGGGGTGATTTTCTGGCTACGGTACTGACGACGTTGTTTACAAAGGTTTGGGAACTAGAGAGTGTACCAACGTCATGGAATGAGTCGATAGTTGTCCCTATCTTTAAAAAGGGTTCGCGTCGTTCCTGTAACAACTATCGGGGGATAAGTCTACTTCCGATTGCGTCCAAGCTATTGGCTTCCGTCATACTTCGTAGGTTGTTCAAAACCCGAGAAAGACTGACTCGCGAGGAGCAGGCGGGTTTTCGTTCTGGTCGAGGATGTGTTGATCAAATCTTCACCCTCTGAAAATGTTAGGACACCGCCATACTTATCAAAGGTAAACAATCGTAGTGTTTCTTGACATCAGGGCTGCCTTCGATTCGTTGGACAGGACTGTTCTCTGGGATTGTCTATTGAAGAAGGGTGTGCCTGAGAAGTTTACTAACATCTTAAAGGCCCTATATACAAACATCTCAGGTAGAGTGAGGGCATTCAACCACCTCTCTCCATTGTCTCATTCGAGCAGTGTGATTAGGCAGGGTTGCCCAATCTCACCATTCCTCTTCAACTTTGCCATCGATGACATTCTGAAAACAGCTCTGATGAATGTAAGTAATGGTGGTGTGGATCTGTTGCCTGGAGAAAGACTTTTCGACCTTGAGTATGCGGATGATACTGTCTTACTGTGCGATAATGCCCAAGCTATGCAATCCTCACTTAATCAGTTGGCAATCAGTGTCCGTAAGTATGGTATGTGCTTTGCACCTTCGAAGTGCAAAGTACTTCTACAAGACTGGCAGGATTCTAACCCTGTACTCACTGTGGATGGTGAGTAGATAGTAGTCGAGAAGTTCATGTATCTAGGTAGCTGCATAACTGCTGATGGTGGCGTGAGTGATGAGATCAATGCACGTATAGTGAAAGCCAGAGTGGCTTATGCCAATCTGGGCCACCTTTGGTGCCTTCGTGATGTTAGTCTGGCCGTAAAAGGTCGGATCTACAACGCGTCGGTGAGAGCAGTTTTGCTCTATGCTTGTGAAACATGGCCTCCCCGAGTTGAGGACGTTAGACGACTCTCTGTGTTCGATCATCGCTGTCTCCGAAGGATTGCTGACATTCAGTGGCAACACCATGTCAGTAATGCAGAGGTTCGGCATCGTGTGTTCGGGCACAGAGACGATAATTAAATTGGTGTCACCATCTTGAAACACCGACTTCGGTGGCTTGGACATGTTCTCCGAATGTCGTCCCAGAGAATTCCACGTCGTGCATTATTTGCCGACTCTGGGACTGGTTGGAAAAAGCGGATAGGTGGTCAGGATATGACATGGTTTCGGGGTGTGAAAGAAAGCTGCAAAGGGCTGGCTTGTGTTGGTTCTTCACGACTCCCTGGCTGGAGTCCGAGTGATGGTGTTACACAGGGGCCAGAGACGTTATCAGATATAGCTCAGAATAGAAGCCAGTGGCGATCCTGCTGTAACCTTCTTTTACTTCCTTCATAAAAAATGGTTGTTTCTTCCTTAACTGAAAGATCTCTTCTGATTGTACGTTTCTGTTTCCCCCATTATTATTATTACACTACTTTACACTAATCTGTTCGTTATTGTTCTTTTTTTCTTTCTCTTTAAATTCTCATTGTTTTGTGTGGTGCATAAATATTTGGTGCCCTCTTGTACGAATATTTATGTGTTCAAATAAAAATAATAGTAATAATAGTGTGTGCCTTAACTGTTTTAAACATTAACATTCACTATGTGCATTAAAATTAGGGTCATCGTTAAATAATATAATATATTGGAGAGAGTTGTTTAGTTTGAAGGAGCCCATCCATTCCATATACAAAAATAAATACAGGTAAAGACAACTAGTGTAGCAGCAGTCTCTGCATCAGTAGGCCTCAATGTACACAACGGAAAAACCAAGATCCTTAAATACAACACGGAGAACACCAACCCAACCACACTTGGTGGAAATGCTGTGAAAGAGATTAAACGTTTCACGTATCTGTGTAGCACCATCGATGAACGTGGGGGATCTGATGCAGACGTAAAGACGAGGATCGGTAAAGCAAGGACCGCATTCCTACAGTTGAAGAACTCAAAACTCAACCAATATCAAAGTGAGAATTTTCAATTCAGACGTCAAGATAGTTCTACTACATGGAGTTGAAACTTCAAGAACTACAACCATAATCAAAGTGGTACAAGTATTTAAAAAACAGCTGTCTACTCAAGATACTCAATGTCGGTTTGCCGGATACCATAATCAACAGTCTACTGTGGGAGAGATCAAATCAGCTGCTATCTTAAGGGGAAATTAGGAAAAGACGCTGGAAGTGGATAGGACATAGATTGCGGAAATCTTCAAACTGCATCATGAGGCAAGCGCTAACTTGGAATCCTGAAGAGAAACGAAAAAGGGGAAGGCCAAAAAACACATTGCGTTGAGAATTGGAAGCAAACATTAGAAGGATGAATTGCAACTGGAAAAGACTGACCACCAGGACAGGGTTGGATGGAGAATGCTGGTGAGCGGTCTGTGCTCCTCCGTGAAGGGTAATAGGAGTAAGTAAGTAAGTATTTGGTCAGATATCCTATCATTCAATTTCGCCTAACTATACAGTTAATAAAATTATTCACGGATGAGAGCATACTTCAAACCCACCACTATTGATTATCTTCGTTAATAGTAGTATAAACCTATCCAATTAGAGGTCATATTTGCGATATCGTTAGCATATGACTTTATCTTAAATTAATCCATCGTTTTTGTATAATTTTGCATGAACCTAAACTTAGTTACTTCCTCGTTTTTTGTGTATAAATTATTACTCATATTCTTGTTTTGTTTAAAGATTATGGTTGGTGCAAAAAAAGAATTATCAAGTTTATGGAGTTGGTTGTGTACATTGAATACAGTTACATTAAAATTCATCAGCCAATTTGTAGTCTGTACCTATCAAAGTGAAAATCATATGCAATCAATTGGTTTGTGTAATCGCGAAAAATCCTCATTAATTTCATTTGATGAAATACCTGTAATTCAAAGAAGTTCTCTTACGTTATATACATTAGAAAGCGTCATCACATGTTTACCTCGTCCATTATATGTGAATTTAGTAATGTAAGTGAATAAAATTTAATTTAATTAAGTTTGAATAATTTATGTGTATGTATTTCTGTAGAATTCTCAAATATTTCTCAATTGATTTACCTTGGTGATAAAAACCTATTGATTGAAATAATTGGTGCTAAAGTCTTCAACTCAAAGGTTGACATTGAAGTTGTTGTGGTGTGAGCTATTTATATCTACATAAGTAGTATATAACGACAGTCGGGAATAGGATGTATTTCAGTAGAAAATCGAGGGGGAAAAACGGGAATGGAGAGCAATTTGTACGAAAATACAGGAACAATGAAATTTGAGACGATGGACTGATATTTGCAAAATAAATGATCAAGTTTGAGATAATGAATTGATATTTTGAAACTAAGTATTTACTTTATGGTTCTCAGATTTTAGAGAGATATTTTGTAATTTCGTGTTAAAATACATTCGGTTGTTCCCACTCGTGTTCTTGTTCACTACATTGTCACATATCACAGAATAATTAATTTAGACAATCTTCAAATAAATATTACTTAATTATTTCTTGATCGGTAGAGTGAAATTCTAACCTACTTACTACACAGTATTTGCTATTAAACAATTATAATTAAACCGCTTACACATCTTGTTGCTTGCTTTTTCTCACTTTAATTGAATTACAGATAAATTTTTTGGAATCTAATAAAATATATTGGTATTTACCTTCCAGTTGCAGTATTTTACTAAAGCTATGTGAAGAAAGTAAACGGAATCATTAAAAGATTGGTAAAAATAAAGCTGTGGTTATGATAATGTTTGGGTTATTGGTCTGCAATAATTTTTAATTACGAACGATTGAGATCCCCTTTGGTGTGAAAGGGATCCAATGTGAACTAAATGGATCGAGTGGATGACACAACATTTCGAAAATTGTTCTTAACACAATGGTCAGTATAAAAATATGAATTAGAAAAAGTATTCTCGTTACAGAAAACATCTAACATTTATTAACAAAAACTAGATAACATACAGTCTTCGTAACAAATTAATAAATAATAAAGAATAGTTATAATTTATCATCACTAGCATAAATATGTATTTTAACGTAGGTTACTTATATCGTTTCTCTTATCAGTAGTAGTACATTATATTTTAAGTGTTTTTGTCAGTTTATATCTAACTGATTATTTTTTTTCGCCAATCCTTTATTAGGCATCCATCATGGGAACAACTTATTCATAAAATGCATCTGTCTACTGAATTGTGCAAGATACTCAATGAATCTGTTCTAAATAAACAGGATAACCTTTCACGGAAGGGGGACAAGGGGTGAAGGATAGAAAATAAACAAAAAAGTCAATTTATCACAATCATTTCTGTCTAGTCAATTTGATTTTTTTTTACTGATTATTAGTTTCATTTATAACAAATACAGATATAATTCATTATTATCAATAGATTATTGAATTAGTTTCGTCAATCCTTTAAAAAGAGAATAATTATAATTTATACTTTATTTAAATATCATCTTAAAATATTTATTGTATACATAGGTATATATCTTTTAATCTCTCATTGTTACTCTTCATATTGTACTCACAATCATTATGTATGTACAAAGAAAATGCATATATACATATATCGGTGTTGGAGATTCTCTTTAATGCTTTTTTATTTTAAATGTACACTTACCTTTTTGGCTCATTGTTAATTTTGCAGGTTTTTTTATATTTTTGGATGTATTTTGTGTATATGTTACGTAATTAAGTTATTTATCTGTGCAATTTACTTTCTTAGTTATTGTGTTGTAGATTATTACTTAATTTATGTATCTTTCAACTAATGAGCTATATGTATGTAATCTATCCCAAATTTAAAAATCTTGGACAGTTTTAACATCAAAAATTTCTGCCAACTAATGACATATTGAAATATACAAATTTAAAAAAAAGATAACTTACATTATTCGAATACACTAAGAAATACTATAATAATTATTTATTTCAGTGACAAATAGGTACCTGCACAGGACTTCACTATAATATAATTGGTTGGCCGATACTTTGAAATATTAACCGTTAAGTTCTGTCTGAGTTCATAATCACTTCACTTCTATTAGATGAATTAGCTGGTTTGTAGGTATGTACAAATACTTAACAGATTTGACATTTTGACAGGTTTTGCTTTCTTTTACGAAATTTCAAAAATATATTATTTAAACAAACTTAGAATTTGTTAGCTGGCTTGTGTAAACATTTAACTAGGGACATATAAAAATTAATCTTTTAAAAATCATTGTTTATTTCTTTTCTCAATTAGTTAATGTTAGATATCCACTTTAAAGCAAAGTGAATAATTAAGAGATTTAAACACATTGAATGAATTTTTAATTCGTTATATGGTAGCAGCTTCACAAATAACTTTTAATGATTAAAGAAATATGGATAAAGCGACTTTTGTAACTCTCTTACTGACTATTGATTTATATACATTTACTAAACAACTAGAATATTGTTTTTTCATGTTCCTTGTATTATAGGCACCTATTAGACTCATTAGCTGTTGCCATACATCTCACTATTCTTTAATTATTGCTTAGCAATTATTCACTTTTTTCCATTTTATATCATTTCTGGTTTGATTATGTATAAATTACGGCTTTCTGTTTGGGGTTCGATATTTCATGCACATAAATTAAGTGCTTAACGTTTGGTTGCTGCTACATTGTTTTGTTGAACTCAGTATTAGAATAGAAAGAGAACGTAGATCCGGGTCAATTGACGTTTAGAATAACCGGTGACTGCTTAAGGTTAATCGTTATCAATAGAAGCGTGTAATTATTTAAGACTTAGGATGATTCATGTACGAACAAAGTATTCTTGGAGTAGATGATTATCAAGATTATGATTGATGAATCTTCTCTAGTGATCGGTCTAGGTGGATGTAAGAAAATTCATGGATTTTAAGAAATCAAACATAGCGTTCACTCCAAAGTCACCTACATACTTCAAGAGTGGTTTATAATTTCGAATTTTGTATTCCAGTTTATCATATAGTTTACAGTACTATAACTATTTCATGTTTTATCCTTAACGTTATATTTGTAAATTTTATGTGAATTCGAAAGTGAAGATAAATATATAATGAGACTAATGCTACTTGCTGTTGTATCACTTTTCTTAAGTTGAATTGAACAGTGTTATTTATTCATACAGTAACCGGTCTCTTTCGTCAATAATTTCTAAAACAATAGACCATTAATATTTAAAATTTTGAATTCTAATCTCTTATATGAATGAATGAATTCATTTTATCTGAATTGTATCGTTAATACTTTATTTGATTTCGTTTTTGCGTGATAAAAATAGTAGCCAAATGGAGCACATACATTATTTCTTTCTATATTTTTAGGCGTTACCTTATTTAACATCTACTTTCTATTGTCTTTTAGTTGGTATTATTGTTTCATTCACCTGGAAAGATTCTCCAGTTATTTCGGGTTAGACAGTCTTGAAATTGTATATATGGATGTTAAAATGTATGTGACCTTAATTTCGATTTAGTAAACAAATTGAGGGAATAAATATAGATTCTTAACTCTTCTACAAAAGGTTGATAATCACTATTAATATTGGTGCTCTTATAATTTCTCTTATAACGACCCAGCTATTTCTATTGCATTGTTTGACACCAATTCATTCGACAAGTCCCCAAATCAGAATACGGTTGAACAGGAACGAATTATATTTCAAATAACAATGGTAAATGGAGGAAAGAAGCACAATAAGAAACGTTAGTATATTTATAGTTTGGTTGGCTAGTATGTGTTCGTTTTAGATTTCTCTCACTATGATCGTGTGAATAAAAATAGGTGTAAGTAGTTTAATGACAAGTTTGAACTTTGCCGTTTAAACACAGCATCTATTTCGTTGATGAGGTTAGAGTGGGTAAAAAAATTACTCCTTGTATGTTCTTTTATCAGCAACAATTTAAACAGCTCACTTTTTAACTGTGTATCAATAATCATGCTTAACTGGGCAAGTGATTAAATATTATTTCTTGCCATACACAATATTGACCAATAATGTTGAACTACTTACAAGTAGTATAATTGTTCTAATGTAATGTCATGATCGATTTCAGGAACATAATGAAGCAGTTGAACTTTAGTGATGTCTTGAATTACCGATACATACTTAGTTAACATGAGAATATCTGGGTGAATTCAACCTTTGACTTTTATTGATAATCAATTGTTACGAATTATTTTATTCTGAACGTAATGCAAATAAACACCATATAAATTCTATTTCATGGTTAACTAGTAAGGGATTTATTCAAACTGTTTGGCAACTGTAACCACTTATAGCATACATATCTGAGAATGTTAGTATCTCGATAGTACGTATAACATATTTCTTTTATTTGATGCATAAAGAATTCAGCAAAGTGAAGAGGGAAAGTTGACCTCCACCTTGATCTACTTCGAGGCATAAATATTCGACTCAGATTACGTAGCAAATTCCTTTCACATTTTATATATAATGACCACTCATAACTTTTACCGCATAAACGGAAGCTACAATTGGTCAAGACAAGTCAAAAAGTTATCTACATAGCATCGCTTATCACAATACTAAATCTCAAACTTCCATTTCTGTATTTCAAATGAAATTCCAAAATTTAACCACTGTGCAAGAAAAATTACAGTAAAATCAAGATACTGTACAGTATGGGAATCATGACTGGAAAATGTGAATTTTTATTCCACATAAGTATATGAAACAGGTGGTATTAATTGAACGCTCTGTTGACACAAATCAGGTGATATACATAGCTTTTTAGAAGATATTTTATAATCATCCTTTAGAATTCCAGCAGCAAGGTCTGCATCTTCCTGTGAAAAAAAATGGGACCAAAAAACGTGTCAATATTTATTTATGAAAAAAGATCATCATATGAACAATAAATTTAGGTTGTGAGGCTGTTTTATGATATAATATATGAGATAAATATCGGTTCAGGAAAAATTTAGCATTCACTGGCTTTGATTCAGGCCAACCAACGTATGTTAAGAAATTATAAACACCAAGCTTTACCGACTGATCACAGAAAACCATTGAGAATCATAAAGAACTAAGACAGCTCTTTCGTCGTATTACGGTGACATCTTGGCAGTATAAACCAACAGCCCCACCGGCAACCAAACCCAGGACTTCCAGACCTCACAGAGAGCATCTAACCGTTTACACTCCTAACCCTAACTGATTCTCTGATCATGCGACCCTCATCCATTCCCATAAGTAATATTCTTTGTATCATAGGTGGGCTCTGTTGAGAAGTCCCACACTAAGACAAATCGGCTGTTCAGTGGTACCTAGTTTTTAAGTTTTGTCTAACTAAAATTGTTTCGTGATGCAAAACAAGGAAATTCAACAATCGGTACAACCCCATATACTTGGAAAATAGTCAAAATACTGCTTTAAATTAAGAATACTACGCGTGAATATATTTACTTTCGTTACTAATAAATAATATACCCTAAAAGTAAAACCATATTCTAACCCATTTTTGTGATGTTTGGAATTTTTACCTGACTGACTAGTGTAGAACTCGATAAGTATCTGTGCGAGTCATCCTACTTAAAAGAAGCTTGGAGAATAACATGTGAATAAAAAGTAGGGGTAGGGAAAGCGGATTTATGGAAGTGCGTCAGTAGGAGACAACTTCTGCTCTTCACACTATGACGTTAGAAAATACATACATATATTGTCACAGAAGACTGACATTTTAAACATCATATTTAGTTGACGTATACAACTTCATGAAACGATCTGTTTGTGTTACTTAAAGCTTCATTTACAACCCTGTAATTAGTCCTCGGTTAGTAACAACGCTACCGAACATCTGAAACTTCATTTGATCTACTAATAATGCCTATATTTTGTAGTAGATGTGCGGTTGAACACTAATATTCTCCTGATAATTGCCAAAATGATTATATAAATATGTTAATGAAAGTGGTTTATTCAGTAAAAACTACTGTCTTAAAATCTGTGATACCTGTTTAAGCTAGTTTGATAAAATAAATATAGATATAACAGTTTCCATCATACAGCGAAACTACATACATATATCCTCTTCTTTTTAGTTCTAAAGTTTTTAACAAACACCTTTTCATATTAAATTAAAACGCAAATTATCTAAAATAACTAGGTTTTCAAAAATTTTCACGACGACAACCAATGTGAAACTCATTAAACCTCCACGAAACATTCATAGACCAGTAACAATGGAAGTCTAAGATAAGTGATGCCATATTGGAATGAATTGGATTTTTAGTGAGAAAGTTTCTCATGTGTCCTTAGACAGTTCATGTTGAAATCTGCCATATATACTAGTTCTGTATGTATAACTTGTTTTTGGGAGGCTGAATCATTTGGCCCTACGAAGTCGATTTTTTAAAGTTGAAAGTCATATATATGAACGGTTAAAAACCATCGAAGTTATGGGTGGACTTGTGTTGATGGAGACGGTATGATGAATCCATTACTTTCTGTCATTGTTTAACATGATTCCGCGGCTTTATAAAATAGAATTTACGTGTATAAATCATTGTGAAATGATTGTCGTATGAACATTAAGTAAGTATGAGGCATACACAGTATAAAGGCTGTCATATACAGTAACCATTATATTAATGTGACAACGATATGAAAACTTTGGTTTACAGTTTTGATCTACCTTGAGTGATGTGACAAGAATGGTCAGGTTTATGTATAAAATGCACAATACAGGAAGATTCTTAATTAACCATCAGTTTATATTAGGGAATAACGTTTGTTCATCACTGAAATATGGGGCATTAATTGCTATTAAAGAATTAATTTCACATGAAATGTGCTCCTTTTGAGATATTGTTCACATTGCTGATTAGCTACTAATAAAAAATATATACAAATAATGGGGTGAAAAGCAGGAAATAAAGCTGTTGCATATAATTAGACAAATTACTGAACTCACTTGTGTATGTGGAGGTTCATCCAGAGACTTTAACCTTCTTTTATGAGGTTTCTGCTTTTTGTGAAGATCAAGAGTGATCTGATCAATAAAATACTTGTCACAAAAGATACAAAAGAATTGACCAAGACCAGGCTTATCTTCGTCTGGTTCTGTAGCTTCACTAACTCGTTTAGCAAAATTTTCCTCTTTGAGGTCACTAGATATCTAAAACAATAGAACAGGTGCCTATTATTACAACGGCATTATAAATCATGAGTTAATTACAAATAATGAATGGTAATACTACACTTAAGCCGTTGGACCACAAATTTGAAATTCACCTCATTTACTTCATCTAAAAAATTCAGATGAGCACGTATAATCAATCTTACTAACTGATAGCTAAAAAACATCTGTGCACACTTTCATTTAGTTTCATAAGTACTTTCACAGGTTACATTAATTCGGTGAGTTTCTTTATGACTATTTACTAAAGGCTAAACTTTAAAACAGATTTTATTTGGTAGCAAATCCAGCAATTTTTTTGATACTATATCTTGAAGATGAATCGGAGATGTATGCAGAAAAGACTTTTACACTCTGTTTTATGGATATCAATAACTTTGTCAACTGCTATACTTCCATTAACTAGCAAATTAGTACTGTCTGACTGGAAAGTTGTGCTGTAGGATTATAAGTAACTGTACCTTAAGTTAATCATTATTAGCCATAGATTTACAGTCAAAACAAATACTTATATCCCAAAACACCTAAGACATTACACGCTTTAGAGTGGTTGGTCAGTAGTCTAAGCATTTGAGTTTTCAACATTGGGTTGCAAGTCAAGATTTCACTTCATCTAAGTTAATCTGCACAGCATTCCTGCAATATGTGATTTTAGTTTTAATACAAGAATTGATAGTTGATCATTGAGTTTAGTATTGTAGCAATTACGCCAAAGTTGCTATTTTTATACTAAAAGAGGTAACATCGGATATAGATTATACTATCTACAAAACGCTAATTGATCATATGACTGGTGATCCAAAAATACACCATAATTAGCTTCCCAGAACGATAAGGATCTAAGCTGACAACTAACTGGAAGCAGGAATCGCTGTATTAAAAGTGACAGGTCTTGCTATGTGAGTTGTTTATGGCGAAATTCTATTCCAAATAAATATATTTAGGCTAACATCGGGAATCTGTGCTACGATTTAAAGCACTTGACATCTAACATTCACAAAAGTCGAATCTGGTATGAATTCTCAAAATCAAATCAAATAATGTTACCTGGTCGATATCCCTTGTACGATTTTTAACTTTATAGCGAGCATTACGAACACCCTTTCGGCCCATGAATCAGTAACCACGACAAGTGGGTATGTTGAAATAGTCTCTGTAAAGTGCAACAATAATGTATTAGTGTTAATTGAGTATTATATGACTCCAACCCAGTGTTCAAAATAGCCTAATTCAAGAATAGCTTGGTTAGACGAGTAGTTCACTAGATTTTAAATATTTGAAAAAACCACGGGTTTCCACCAAAAGGTAAAATCTAATTCAGTGTTACAAATAAAAACTTATAAGCTTAGGAATGGGCTAATGTTGCTGACAGTAAAAATAACGATAAATCATTTAAGACATTAATTCCATGATTAACACTATTAGTTTTGTGTTTATAATTTGTCACATACAGTTTGACCTAAGAACAGCTGTTGAGACAGTGTTTGTTGATTTATCACAATCTCTTGGAAAAGGTAGTACAGAAGATTTGTAGCTCAGGTGGATGATTTTGGTGGTTTTATTCTCTGAGCTGTATGGTTTGATCGTGGAGCTTTCACTGTTGTTCTTTATTTCGTTTATACCTAGAGTTTGTGCTCATGATGTCATTTAGAATAACGATGACAGCTCCACGACCAAACCATCCTGCTCAGAGAAGAAAACCTCATCAAAATCTTAGAAGAGTTGTTAGGGATTGTACAGCTCAGTGGTTTGTGATATCATAAGACACAAGTCAAAATAGAAACAAGTGGTAATTCAACAAAGTTTTCTGGGTCTGGTTCATGCAAATGGCATGATGATTCAAATGATCGAAAACCAGTTGGTGTGTAACCGAAAAATGAAGAGTCAAAAAGAAAACAGACTACATTTTGCCAAACATAATTCATCACCCGTCTATCGAATACCTATGAAAAGTAACTACTGCTAGGACAAAAAGACTCCGCTAAAGTTATCTATGCCCTAGTGGTTTGAAGATGTACACTAATACTTACTGCATCTTAAAATCGAGGACTAATTAATCTAAATTAAGGAACTGGCCAGTTCCTCAACTGTAATTCCCGGAATTACAGTTCCCAATCACAAGCTTGAGATGCCATAAGTTAATCTATGAATATCTCAGTGGTTATCAGTATTTTCACCTCTAAAACAGTTATCAAGAAATCTAAGAAGATAAGTAAGCAACTAAATGGGTAAAAATAAGGGAGTACTTTTTACGTACACTTTAGCCAGATGGGTAACGGATTTACAAATGGTTGATTTCCTGATGCTTAGATCAAAACCTCGAAAGGTTGTCGGTGAAAAACGTGAAAAATGTTTGTGCTGCACATTGTGTTTACATCAAGAACGTAAAATACCGATGAAGTCAAAGAAATAAGTCAGTGATACCGATCGTAACAGTTTAAGGTTCAAACTTTACACTGTTTAGTATGTAGTAAAAAATAAAGTGTCCAGAACCCATGACATGAGTCCGGGACACTAAGTTTCTTCATATTGCAAAGTACAAAGATGTCGAAGTGTTATCAGCACATTTGAACATTTTCGACGATTTATTGACAAATGTAGATATACACACCAGCTTTCACTAATCTTATAGAATTATTTTGTATTGAGTGGTCAGTGATTCATACTTTGAAATTGCGGTTCCCATGTGGCTAAATGAAACTAACCCAGCGAATTTTATCGTACAATAAACCGATGTCACCATACCACCTATGTACTGAAGACATTTTCAGATTAGCAGACCGATATCACAACTACTTACTGCTTTGAGAAATATGTTCAGTGTATTGCTGAATGCAAAGTTATGGGAAAACAACAAAAATTGGCTAACGTTTACCGTGAAATTGGTTTCAAGTCTGGGATAATTTACTTCCCAAACGGCTTTTATACCTTCAGAAATTCGGAACACATTTAGTTAATATTCACACGAGTTTTAATTTACACTTATTGTGAAATGGCTGCATATAAGGAGAAGGCGATGCAGAATGAATAGAGACAACTTACATAATGATAAGAAACGCAACAAGTCAAGTGGTGCGGGATAAAATAGCGGGGTTATCAAGTTCATTTCGTCTTCAGTCCACTGTCTTCAGTAATAAGAATAAGATGTCTATCGACCTATATTAATTCTTGCAGTTTGTAACACCGTGGATGTCCAATCTCGTTTTGAATATATAAACAGAAGGTGTTCCGGTGGAGAATTCCAGTAATTCGCTACTCGGTGTGAGATACGAAACCTCAGACGTAGACGACTTGATCTCGGTCTTTTACTTTCTTCGAATGTCCTTTCAACTGACCAGTCCTAGATGTAAGGAAAAGATAAGACATATTAATACTAAGGTCATCGTTCAGTATACGATAAACCAATATTAGATCACCCGTATTCTGATTGGTGTAGTAAGGACAGAAGGTCTACGGCCTATGCTGTTCCTTTTCTAGTATGCTTCTGTGAGTGTCCAGTCTTCTCTTGAAAGAGTCAATTAAAGGTGCAGAAACCACTGCTTCAGGCAGCAGGTTCCAAGTATTGATGACTCGGTGTGAAAACCTGTATGTCACGGGTATTTTGTTCGTTCTTGGCTTTTCTACTCGCCTGCTATGTCCTCTGAGGTGTCCCGATCTAGTGGGAAGAAAGAGAGTAAAATAGATCCGGAATCATTTCTCAGTATTCTGTACATCAAAATTAGATCTCCCCTTAGTCTGCGATAGGACAGAGTAAAGAGGTCCAGTTTTTCAAGCCGCTCTTTGTATGATAAACCTCGGAGTTCTGGAATTGCACGGGTAGCTGCCCTCTGTACTTTTTCTAGTATGTCCGAGTCACCTCTTAAGCAGGTGCTTGCAGCCTGAACGCAGTTCTCTAGCTTAGTTCTAACTAAGGGTGTGTATACTGTGGTGAACATGGTAGTATCAAGCTTAGTGAATGTCCTTTTTAGAGCTCAAAGGGTTTGAAACACCTTAAGTGCGAGCTCCCGGATATGGGCCGTCGTCTTAAGATCATGACTCACTGTCACACCTAGGTCCTTATGAGACCGCACCACGGGTAATGACACTTCCCCTATGTTGTACGTATTAACCTTTGAATCCCAAAAGTGAATGTAGAGACATTTTGCCGCGTTGATAGGCATCAGCCACTCTTTAGACCAGTTAATCAAATTATTTAAGTCTGCCTAAAGGGCAAATGCCTCTGTGTCTCCAGTTATTACTCGCCAGATCTTTACATCGTCAGCGTATAATAACATTGTACACTGTACTATACTTGGAAGATCATTAACATACATTACAAAAAGTAAAGGACCTACGACGGAACCTTGAGGTACCATACTAAGTACTGGTCTCCAGATGGAGCACTTGGAATTTATCCTCACTTTTTGTCTACGGCCTACTAGGAAATCTGTGGTGTTTGAATGAACCAATGATACCTTTGTACTTGTTGAATGCTTGATTTCGAATTCTAAATACAATACATCCGTTTGTGCTTGTGTCTTACTTCTTAATTCAATTGCGTTATTTCTGGGACTCTTATTTCATACTACAACTCAGATAATTCAAAACATTATAAAATCTTTAATCCATTTTAAAAGAGGTCCGGCAATACCTAAGTTTCCCAACTTCAATAGCAGTCTATTAGTCGGCACCTTGTCAAAAGCCTTACTGAAATCTATGTAGACAACATTCACTGAGTTTCCGTTGTCTAGCGCATTAATCCAGAACTCCATAGCTATTAGGAGGTTCGTTGCACAGGATAGACCCTTCCTAAAACCATGTTATGCCATGTTCAGCAAGTTATTGGTCCCCATAAATGCCGTTATGGTCCGTTTGATTATTCTTTCCAGTATTTTAATTACCACACTGAGACTTACGGGTCTGTAATTTGATGGAACTTGTCGTGGACCTGTTTTATGTATGGGAGTGACAATTGCGTCCTTCCAGTCCATAGGTAACACACCTTGGTCAAGTAACATATTCAATATCACAGTCAGTGGGGCCGCGATATAATGGGCAATATGTCTCAAGATTTTGGAGTGTAGTTCATCTGGTCCTGTTGACTTATCCATGTTTAGGATGCTAAGAGCCTTAAGCACATCGTTTTGGTCGAAGTCCACGGTGAGCAGCTGGTTTGTTGACTGTATTTGGATCTGGTTCTTTCTCTAGAGGAGGTTCCTGAGTGAAAACTGCCCCAAAATACTCAGCCATAGCCTTTGCTTTTTCCTGATCTCCCTCTATCATTTCGGATCCACTTCCTACTTTATTTAGGTTGGGAATACAATGGTGCATTCTTGTTCTGTAGTTTATGTACGAGAATATTCTCTTGGGCTGCTTGAGTGCAGATTGTGCCAGCTGCATGTCATATTTTCTTTGAGCTTCCCGAATTTTAGTTATACACTCGTTTCTTATCGATCTGTAGCGTTCCATCGTACCTGCTGTGCCAGGGCGGATGGCAACATCCCAGCACTACTTCTGTCTTAGTAAACGTCGAATATTCCGCCCTACCCAGGGATGTCCGTGCTTCCTTTTCTTTGGTACAGTCCAGGGTATGTATGGTTGAGTTTCCCGATTGTATAACTGCATGAATAGAGTCCAGGCCTCTTGTACTGATGCCTTTGAGTCAATTTCCCAGTTCTCAGCCGATGCTGCGGAGTTAATTGCCTGAATATCTGCCTTCCATATGTTAAGACGGGCTGGCGCAACTGTTCGACAGGCAATCTCAGCCATGAATTTGAATAAGATGACTGCATGGTCACTTCTCCCAAGTGGTGGGAGAAAACCATTTGACCAACGTCATCACCGTGTGTGAAGACTAAATCTAAAAGAGAAGAAGAGTTTCTTAAGTCGTATCTTGTGGGATCTCTAATGTGTTGGAATAAAGCTAGTGCAATCGAGGTTTCTAACAGCTTGCAGTTGAACGACGATATGGATGACCGTACTTCTAAGTTAACCCAGTTTATATATGATGCATTAAAGTCGCCTACTACAAGACTTTTACCGTTGTTACCCCAGGACGTAAGTTTACTGAGGAGAAAATCATCTGCTACACATTCTGGACTGCGATATACTACAACTAATTCAATATCTTGCCT